CTACAGAGAACAAAAACTCACAATTAGACGTTTTTGATGAAAAAATTTATGTCACAACTTGACTCCAAGCTTGTATTACGCGGATTTTACCGGCATCGCGTTTGTCTTATCGAGACGCGTCGAATGAACTATAAGTTGACCTTTCCAGGTCAATTTAAAAATTTGTCCTCAGGTGAAGGTCACGGAAAAGGTCATGTTCATTGTTCATATCATTTGCTTCGTATTGTTGAGCTGAACACATTCATGGTGTTTTCAGCGCTCTAGTAGGTATGTTTCTATTTTAAGTTGTTCTCAAATCACTGTTAGTTACGGTTCATGAGCTAAAATGACCTGAGGGGCATAAAAGGGATTACAGGTGCAATTTTCGTATTCAGTGTGTCATATTCACATGCGTTCCGACGTTTGCGGGTGTTATATGTAGACCAAAACAGCATTTCATTTTTGCTTCCATGGACTTATAATGGAGAGGTCACAAAATTGAACTGACCTGTCCTTAGGTCACCGATACAAAAATTCCAAGATATGCAAATTGTTAGTACTGACAGGGCTGGTAAAAAGCGCCGATTCGCTGATAATATCGGAGCCAGAACAATAGCTGTACAAGCTATTTAGGGAGCCAGAAATAAGCGTTTCAACACAAGTATGCATGTGCAGGATAACTGTTAAGTTTTGTTTCACATTTTCATTTTATTTCTACGACAAACCTTTAAATACAAGATGCCTGAGCACGAATATTAAATTAGTAGCAGCATTCAATTTCCCAATAAGGTCTTATGCGCAATGTTTGTCTAAAAAGTACAAAGCTGGTAGCCTATTCAGAATAGCTGTAAATGCTTACCGCGAACAGCGTCAGCATTCATCAGTCGAAGAGCCATCAGTCGATTTCCAGCTTTAAAGGGACTATCCCACCTTCTAAAATGTTGTTAAAACCAGTTAAATTGTGCCCGACTTTATAGATTGGATGACCAGGAACACGGTTCTGGCATTTATTTTTCATTAAACATCTTAGGCTTCCCATATTCCAAACACAAACTTTCATATATGTGACGTCACAGCCCAAAATTACCTCCTTCCCCAGGCCACATTACTGTCATAAAGCTGATTCGTTTTACTCTGTAGGCACCACAACAAAGTTCAGACCATGTTTTAAGCGATTTTTCAACGAACAAACCCATTTAAATCAGAATGACTAAACGAGGTGACGTCACACTAACGGTCGCTCCATGTTGAAGATAGGGCCTTGTACAAGGCCCATTTTCAAATGAAGGGAACGAATTTCTTCAACACCAAGAGGCCGCGGGGGTTGCAACCTAGATAGATAGTGGTTTCTGAACCTCGCCGCAAACTTGGCTATCTCAACTCAAACCCCATGTTAAAGGAAAAGGGCCACCTTTAACATGGGGATTGAAACTGAGATAGCCATCTTGTAGCCCGTGTCCGAAAACCTATCTGTAAACCTCCTTACGGCCGATTTCGGCCTCCATTCGTAGTTATCGGCAATTTTAAAAGAAAATACGCCAGGAATGCGTCCTTATCCCAGGAATGCGTTCTTATCCGACAATACAGCCACCCGCGGCGAGGCTTTGGTTTTTTACCAATCAGCTCCAACCAGCTCAGCTTTAACCAATCAGCTTATCTGACACAATCCGACGAGTCTGTCTTCTGAACGCTGATTGGCTTGAGTGTGACGTCATCGCTATGCCATCATACAGTAGGTGCCGTAGAGAGTATCAACATAGTACCAATATGTTACTTAGTTTTAAATACTTTTTCGCGAATTGTGCACTTCTGGCACCAGTTTTAAAAAGAAAATGAAAAATAATAATGTCAAAATGAAAAACAACGATATCTTCATATTTCACGAAGGTGGCCCTTTTCCTTTAAAGGTGGGATAGTCCCTTTAACACTACGGAGAATAGGGCTCCGTAACTTTTATCAGTTGATGAGGACCTAGTGTTGAGGGAACGGGGAGCCACAGAGCCTTCTACCATTGGCGGTTCACTGTATTACCGACTAGTTTAGAACACAAATAATGATATTCAAGTGGCCTTTTCATTTTTATCAATGCAGGGCATGCAGGGTTGCGGCTGGTTGCGGCACGGGCAAACTGTACATTTCATGGTATGTTGGTTGTTGTTTGTTTGGATTTGAAGTTGCTCCTTTTCTGTATAGTACCTACATCTCATAGCAATATCATAGACCACCTACCTCAATATTTTAAGCTGGTCAAGCTGTGGAGCTAGACATAAATATGGCGCTTGTTTTTATTTTGAAGATGCATACGGATACCTAACTCAAGTGGCTAAAGATACTCATTTATTTGCCAACCAACCCAGTATGGTTAGCATATTTGTTACAAAATCAAAATAAATTTTGAAGATTAAGATATGTTCCTCTTCTGCATGTTTTTCTTTTTGGTACGCCATACTCAAAATATGCTTATATAAGCAATCATGATTTATATTTCAGGCATTTTGTAACTAAAATTAATATTAGACTTTCACTTATAGTGCCTTTGTGTTTCAGTTCTCAGCGTAGGACATCATCAATCATGTGTATCTCAGATGATGCAGACAATGACCAGCCTGCGGAAGATCTATGCTAGTGGGTGAGATGATGAAATTTCCTCTGTTGGTGAGTCAGTATTATATTTTTTTTTTTGTCAACAACATTCATTGCCTTACATGCATTTGTGCCTTACATTTCTGTCACCAACCAGCTTGAGCTTAAACAAAAGTAGAAGAAATTATATACCTACCTACATTCTTTTGCTGTGTTTGACACCAGGCGATGTCCTAAAATCAGGATACATCAGTGAGCTATAAGTAAAACTAAAATAGTTACTGATGAGGTTTAAGGTGTTCCTGAAAAAGGACGTTGTTCACCGCACTTTCAAGCATTCTGTTACGCGTGTTAGGAGCCACTTTTCATGGCCGAAAATTTGGTCAGAGCCACCAAAACCATTTTTACCAGCCCTGAGTACTGATTCCCTCACACAATAGCCTAAGTTTCATGCTTCTGGGATGTAAGCTGTAGGAATGAATGAATCACAAAGTTTCTTAGAGGCATCATGGCATGGTCACTTAACTTGACCTGGTGACCTGGTGATCCGGGGTTAAAAATTTCACACACGATGCTGTCAAAGCGAAATTGATCCATCATGAGCTAGGTACCAAGTTTCGCGGCGCTGCGCACCGCGGTTTTCTCCCCCCCCCCCCCCTTCGTTCGGGTGAAGGCTAATTACCGACAAACCAAGATTGTTTTTAAGATTTAAGTTCTATTTTTCGGTGGTTAACGGGGTGAGACAATACAAAGAAAACGAAAGGGAAAAAGTAAAAACGAAACGAGACTTTCCACTTCCGAATCACATTTGTGTTGGTCAGTGGCCAGTACTATTTATTTTTATTAGCGATCTGCCAAAGAATTGATTTAAGGAAATTTATTTGTATTTCTTCCTACTACCTTATCAATATCAACTAATGTTCCATCAAATTTGTTAGAACTTTGTTGTGTTTTCATTTGCCAGGTGAGGCACTTTCGGTTCAAATGAAGACCAATTCAGAATCGTTAGGTGGTATGGCAAGGAACGAAAATTGACTGAGACCTGAGAGTTGAGACAACCACCGACTGTTGTGCTGAACGGAAGTGCCCCAGTGTGAGGTCACCCCAACCAGCCGCTCAAACGGTCAGTCCGGAGGAGCCGCACTCACCAGTCGGTTGGGTGGGAATTGGGATGGCAGTCACAGTCAGCACGAAGTAGGGTAGCTTGATCAGGGATGAGGATGGATTAGTCCTGATAATTGAAAGATCGGATGAGTCAGGTGCCAGGAGTCCATCCCTTGGCACTGCTTCGGTGCAATGCCAAGTGCAAGTGGGCCAGTGGCGCAGGAAAACCGACCAGCATAGGTACTGAGCCTGCCACCTAGCGAGCGACGATGAGATGAAGCTTGAAACCCTGACCACCAGAGGCTGCTCCGGTCTTCAATACCGCAAATCATAGATCCGCAAATGACTAGCCGCACCGGACGGACGAGCTGAGCTCTGGTGGCGACCTCTACAACGATTTGGTGAGCTGCCGCAGCGACACAGTGGCCGATATCGGAACTACTCGGACCGAGACGTGCTCTCGACAAGGTGCTGTTCAATAGCAGTTCGATGAATAACGACGCAGTAGTGACCCAACAAATCAACTGCATATGCATGCCAGACCAGAGACATGATCCGAGGGCTGACCAGGTTACAGACTTCCATGGCTCATCTCCAGTACTGTACATACTGCAATAATGCATAGATGCCAAAAGACGGAGTCTGGAATATAGCACTTAGGTCAGGATGTCCTTTCACGTGTCCACTTTCACCCAACCCATAGATCGATGATGTCATTATGACTGGGGTCGCTGGCCATAGGCCAGTGGCCAGTGTCCAATAGCTGGTGCGTGGGCGTTGCAATTTACTTTGACATGAACATGGCGAGTGCATACATTGGCCACCGGTTTAATGCCAAATTAAACGGTGTATTAGAACCATAAGGGTCAGTGAAAAGGTGGCATTAGCGACGGTAAGTGTCGTAGATGTTGTAAAACCATCAACCCCATGGCTCATGATTAGACTTTAGGGCGCACTTCAAATTCTGCTGCTGCTCAAGAGCTGCAAATGCAAATGTGACATTTACTCCGCAAGCACCATACGGAATAAACGATCATGCAAAGAGCGCTATACGCTAGCATGAAATAAAACAGTCGTAATCGTAAAATGAAGCTTCTAAACGCCACAGGTCACCACGTCCCATAAGTTCTGTGGAATACTCCAATGGCAACATCTGACTGCTGCCTTCATGGCTTGGAAGTCGGAATCGCCTTAAAAAGGATTAAAACGGCATGCGTCCTGCAACATTTACCGACAAGCCTTTCGGACACGGAAACGTATGATGTTCGTTCACCACGCGAAGCAGTAGCACGGTGCCTGAAGTGACTGTCCCTGCCATCCACCGAGTGACTCACCTGACTCTGGGCTCTCCCTGGAGGCTGACTCGGGACGTCCTCAGCTGACGGTGACTCAGTGGCGCTCAGCTGACTGCCGAAAGACTCTCGATCAGCTGATCACTCACTGCCGGGTCACGTGACGTTCTAAGCACCCTGCAAAGTGCAACAACACTCGGATCAGTTACATTATATCATATTTCTCTCGGTATTTCTCTCGGGCACTTGGCGAGTTGTTTAATAAGCGATTTCTAAACTAATGGCATTAATTTTTCATTCAGATATAAGAAAAACTTTGGGAAAATTTATATCCCGGACAAATGATATGCACAAAAATCGTTGTTGTGTTTTTGTCCAATAGCTGACAACCTGTTACGTTTATATCAAGTGTTCCTGTTTGAAAACTCTCAAGTAGGTAGCAAAAACAGAGTTTTGCTCAGACCACAAAGCATCAATGATCAATATCTTGCTCTTTTGGATGTTTGTATATAATTGTGCATAATATCTAGCCCGAGTACGCTGGGCTAAAATATGATAAAATGCCATTTATGATAAAATGAAAAATGAAAAATGCGTAAAAAAAATTAAATGATGAAACGATTTGTAATGTGGGATTGAAGCTGAATATGTCATCCAGCCTTGTAACAGGCGCTGAAAAATAAACGGCGAAACCTTGCGCAGCAACGGGGCTGCTAATTACACCAAGCACAGTTGTATAAGCAATAAAGCATGCATGGACGAAAACGGTAGAACATTCAAATCACTTGATTTATAATGAGCAGAGGATCTATATTCTTAGATACATGAATAAGCGCATTCATTTATGGAATTAGGGAATTAGCGCAATATCATGAATGTATCAGATTAAAAACAGGACATTTCTGCGCAGCTTAGTCATTTGATGCGCTTATGAATGCATGTGGTGCATGAAGTACCATCACATACCACTCGTATGTGCTTTCTTCGGCCTGTATTCGGCTTTGGGACCCGTCCTGACGGGCGACAGATCGGATCGTTTGGGTCAATACAAGACGACCTCGCCTGTCCGGCCGCCGCCGGCGGTGATAATAATGCTGAATGTCACTTTGTGCCGACCTCCTCAGCTCCTCCCCTCCTCCTTCCCCCTCCTCCTCCCTCCTCAGCCACATTGATCGACACTTTAAACAGACAGGCCAGTGGCCACTACACGACACACAGGTGGGATATGGGGTGCTTCAGCGGGGCTTATTGGCATTTGCACGGTTGGCAATTAATTTGTGGATTACGGGTTTAAAAATTAGCATAGCTTGGCATTGCTTAGCTACATCAGCTATAGAGTCAAATTATCGGCAAGATGAGGAATACTGTTGACGGAAGGGGCCGTAAATATGCCGCGCAGCATATAAAGCATCTATCATTTTTTCGTACCATGTGAATTATGAACCGTACCGTACGCAGGGTCGGTCCGCGAACTACCGGCGTCGGCCCGATGCGACCGCACGTATAACAAAAAACCTGCACAGATATGTAAGCACTGGTAGATGCGCATTGATTATGCAAAAGGTATGTTATAGCAGGGCCGTAAGCAGGGCTCATCCTAAGCAGGTTAGCTCCATAGGACATTGGCGTGATAGAGGAATGGCATGAACAAGGAGCATCCATGGTTGTTGCTTTTTATGGAGAAAAAAAAGCGAACGAATGATGTATATGAGCGATTTTGCACCAATGCCCGTGCATGTGTAGCAGCCGCCCTGGAAAAACTGCTGTTTAGATCCCATTTGCATTTGACTTTTGAATCTTCTTTCGGTAGCAGATGATAAATGAATTCCCTCCAAGTAAAATACAAGTTTATTGGCTTTGACAAAAGCCTCAATCAATCTCTCACCGGAGCACCGGCCTCAGAGAACGTTGTAAGCACAAACAGTGTGAAATGAATTGACAGAGTGTCTAGTGCGCGTTGTTGACAATTTGTATTGAATAAACAAATTGCGGTTCGGATATGTCGGGGCGGCCAAGCTGAAAGGATGCAGTTGGGCTATACAAAACCCACACGACAGGGCACATGCCGCAAGGGTGAGTCGCTTCGCTCAGAATCGATTTCGGGTACCTTTTGGATATTTTGGTTGTAGGGCAAAATGTTCCATATAAGTGCCCGTCTCAATGCAAGAAAATTTCACAGATTAGTTTTGTTTTACGGCACAGAGCTCTAAGCATATCACAATTAAATGAAGCGCGGCTTTTTTCTCGGCTGACATGTTCAATGCTCAACAGCGTGAGTTATCCAAACAAACGGTCCTACCGGCTACCTCCCCCAGTTCTCACCTGGCACGTCAGGACAACCCGCCAGTCGATGGAGGACTGAAACCTGACCAACTCTCACTCTACCACACGCCCCGTTTTCCTCCTCTCTCACTCTACCCCCACGCCCGTTATCAGCGGCTCTCGCTCTCTCTCCCTGTCCCACGCAGTCCCCGCGACTGACAGCCCACGGTCCTACCGCCAGGGGCGTGTCGCCGCCCACCGACTCAAACTTCGACCGCTCCACACCACGCGGAAACACACCGTGAATGTGGGTCAGTCGCGCACCAGCACGCACAAGAGGTGAAAAGTGGACAGGGATAATCGGCGCTGGTCAATGGCCGATTAAATACCTACTAACCTCTAGATACTATAAACGGCTACAATGGACTTTGTTTTTGTACTAGCCGGCTAGTTATAAACAGTGAACTTATTACTTACTTGTCTTTTAAAACAGCTAAAATGTTTCACAATCACTCAGAAGCGCCCGGTAGTCTAGCAGGTAAAAGGACGTCGAGTCGTATACAAGCTGCACCTCTAGCACGCACCCGCCGTGGGCGACTGACGGCACAGAACTGACCGGCGACCCCGCCTCACCCTCCTACTTCCCCTCCCCTGAATGGACCGGCCCCACCCACCGCCCACTCAAGCGCCGCGGGCGTGCCAGTCGCCACCCCCCCCCCCCCCGCCCCGCCCCCACCCCTCCCCGCCCATGCGAATGGACCGTCTGAGCTATATTGCGACGCGTATCAATAGACGGGACGGAGTGTGAGAGGCCGCTTGGCGTTTTTGTTTGTTCAACTAGGCACACACAAGGTCTGAATAAGTACCGATGTTAATTTTATATGTATGGCTATAGTGTGCTACCGCGTCTTTTTTTTTTTTCACTTTCTTGTTTATTTGTACATCTTTCAGTGCATTCGTTTACAAACCTTTGGATGTGTTAACATGCACTTACATTGTTTACACAATCCCGCTTCCTGCAAGCGGCGGAAACTGGTTTACAGGGGTCACGTGTGACCATTACGTCGGTGACAGCGATGCACAGTGCGATCGAAGCGCCGCGACCGACGGGTGGAACGGCACCACTGCACTCGTCGGCCCACTGCCCGTCGCTGCCTGGCGGACAGAACGGCGAACGCTTAGCCAACCCCTTCGCGTGGTAGTATATTCCGCTGACTGTCCGTCCTCGCTCCCACTCCACCGAGCATGGTCAACAGTTGGCTATATTTACGACAGAAGACATCTACCCTATTAGTACAGTCAGCTATATATCGCTCCACATTTAAGTAATTTGTTATAAACGTGATAAAACCGGGTGCATCTGGTCTTTTCCCCAAATTTCTACACTGCCATATGTAAGCTTTACCGAGCAGGAGCGCCGCCCGCAGCGGCGCCGCCGCCAATGGTCCGTTGCGCTCACACGTGCCCAGCACTATCACCGACGGCACAAGAGGCGTGGCAAGCGAGAACATTCTTTTGAATTCTAACCAAAAGGTTTTACTGGATTCGCAACTCCAAAAAATATGCAAGATGCTTTCAACGGGCCATGAACAACGATCACATTTTTCGTCGTCCCTAATACGGTATAAAAACAGGAGCCTGTTTGTAGGTAAAATCCTATGTAATAGACGTAACTGTAGCCAGCGAATTTTGAAGTCATTTGTGCTTTCATAAATACATTTAAAGACTTCTTTCCATGAGCCTGTTTGGATTTGTAGTTCGCGTTCCCATTTTTCTTGAGCTTTATTAGGAGTAGTTGTCACAGTGAGATTTATCATTTGTTTGTATGACCACTTTGCCGTTTTGTAAGTATTGTTTAATTCCTCGTATAAATCAACCTCATGATGATTCATTGTTTGTTCGGGCCTGTTCAGTTTGCATTTCCAATCTCGTGGAATTCGTTCCAAAATAGTGTGCCAGGTAAGGAAGTGACCACAATTATACTTCCTCTGTAGTTCATCACAGTTCATGATACGCCTAGCGCTGGCATTATACAAATCTTTAATTCTCAATACGCCATTCGATAACATCCTTCTTTTCGGAATGCTGGGATGGTTATCTAATCGCAATGCCTGATTGAGCCAAAGGGACTCGTTTATGATCGACAACTCAGTTAAACTGTTACCCTGTGAGATAGTCTGCCAGGCAAGTACCGTCTCTATCCAGAAAGGATTATGCACTACATCGCATAACTCTTTCTTCGCTATGTTGCATTCAAAAATACTAAGGGTATCCGTAACACTGAGTTTGCTTTTCATCACGTCTTTCCATTTCCCTCGGGTATCATCGTCAAGGTATTTCTTGACCCATGTTATTCTAAGGCTGTCGGCCTGTACTGACGGATCTGGCACTTTTAGTCCTCCAAAGTGATAGTCATTTTTCATTGTTGTTCTCTTTATCTTATCCTTGCCTTTGTTCCAAATAAAATTGAACATTATCTTTTCAATCTCTTTTAATTGCTGTTTGTCTGGTTTCTCTATTACTGACATTGTGTATACCAACTGTGACAATGCAACAGATTTAATTAGATGGACTCTACCATATGGAGTTAAGCCAAACTTGAGCCATGGGTTTAGCGTTTTTTTAAGCTTCTTTATTTTTTCAGGATAGTTTAGGCTTGCTAAAGCTAAAGCTACCGCGTCTTATAAAAAGATGGGCCGGCTGCTTCCTTGCCTAAATGTCCAATCGTTTTCTCATTAATGTAACTTTATCAGTAGTTGTTTTGGTACCTACCAACTAATGAGTTCAGCTTGTTGATTTCAAGTGGACCTTTCTTCTGACGTCTATTTTTAGAGGTTCTTGATCTATTCAAGCAACACGATCATGGTGTTATTCGTGATAAACAGCAGTTATACCAGAGCGCATTTTTAGGGTTAGGCCCACAGGGCACAGGCGGACCCAAAAAGAGATAAAAGAGAACAAATATCTAAACTCCATGTCCTTCCGAGCGCTGTTATCCAAATTAGTTAGTGTTTGGGGCTTTTCGGGGGTGTCAAATTGTGCAGCTGTCACCCTCGACCTGCTACTGATCTGGCCCACAACTGCACCTCAGTTCAGAGGCTGCAGCTGGAACTGATCACCTCGCGCAGCTCACAATATGCAGCAGAGCTGCTGAGCTGACGGCTCCATAAACACCCCAGCTGCCTCGGATACGGCCGGAATGTCGAGCTGAAAATACCGCCAGGCCGCCCGATCAACGAGTTCGTCTGAGGCTTTTTATAGAACGGAGAGTAAACAGCCGCTAAATTAAGTCAACATTGCCCAAAGTCTTGAGTAGCTGGGTTTAGGTCGCCTCTCTCACGGGCGGCACAGAGCACGCCTTGTGTATGGTTTTCGTCTCCATTCTCCAGTCACGTTCTGGCGCAGCGTAAAGCGCGCTAAGGGCTATACTAGTACAAAGTGCGCGACAAACAATGACCTGCTTTGCCTGTGCAAGCACTCGTGCACACACATCAGCGAACAGGGAACCCCTGTGGGGCTTCTGATTTGGTGCTGGTGGCCCTCAGTGCCCGTATTTAGTTCATAGAGTGTGAGCCCAGGGTTGACGGAGTGAATATGAAGGGCAAGACGCAAAACTGCCTATGAGCTGGTCAGTGGCCTTATTTTACGATCCTTTTAATAAGTTTTTTTTCCGGCCCATAAAGTTATCGTTAAAAAGACTAGTAAAAATAACATATCATGTATAAACACGCCATAAATGCTTCAGCATACTACCGCGGCATACCATTTATTCGGCCTACGTCAAAAATCAACTGTTTTTTTTTCGGAAGACAATCCAAAAGTTTCCAATTGAATTCAGCGTCTAGCTATAGGTAGTAGTTAGGTACTAAAGATATGTTTATGTAATACGCAACATGCTACGATAAGGAAGCCATATAGGCGTGTTTATCTATAGATCCTGTCCCTGTCCTGCACAAAACATTTATCTATTAAAAAGCTCTGCCAGTTGATATGTTTAAATGCTGGCGCACGAAGTTAAGCAGGAACTGGTGCACATTGGAGCGATAAGGCTATGTCTTAACCCTATTAGTGGCAGGGGGGGTTGTTTTTATCCACCCCTCAGGTTTTTCGGGAATATCTCCGAAACCGCTGAAGCTACGATGCTGAAATTTTCTGACTTTTCCTAAAACTAAATTGGGCACATTCCCTGAAAATTTCAAGTTCATAACTTTACCAGGGGCGGCTCCAGAGCACTGCAAATTGGGGGGTCCTATTCGTGAAGCGAGTCATTTGGCGAAGATCACGATGCTGCACCAGTTTTACGAACAGTGAATGAAAGGTATCATGTGATAACATATACAAAGTTATTGTGCATCCTCTTTTGACACGTTTTTGCTATAATAGGCGGATCCAGGCGTCCAAAAAGGGGGGTTATTTTTTACCTCCCAACATAGGTGCCCTGACACCGCCTATGCATGACCAATACAATTTTAGTCGTTCTCTCATAAGAAAATTGTAACATAACAAGACCATTGCCACCCTTTTTTGGAAACAGTACCAACAAAAACCTTATTTACTATACTTTTTGTGTACCCCCAATCTCAATGATCTGTATCCGCCTATGATTTTTGAAAATGCATATTTTTAGGATCCATGTGAATTCCTGGTTCATTCTCTATCGATCGGCAAAAGTTGCGTTAAGATTGGTTCAGAAACCTGGCCGTGATAAACAGTCTAAAATGTATCTGCAATTTGCCCGTTTTTACCCCCCTCTACCCCCCTATTGACATTTTTTAATTTTATTTTTTTTTAGAAATGTAGATCTCGTTGAGTCAAATCGAATGCCGTTTGAATTTTGAAAATCGGCCGGTTAGATCTCGAGATATCAAGGGGGGGTCGTAAACAGCCCCCCCTGCCACTAATATGGGGTAGCCAGGAGCCTGCCACTAATAGGGTTAACCAGGAAATAGACAAACCATGGAAGTATTAGAAAGATAACATCAACCTAAACACTGCATATCAGTCCGATTGTCACAATTGACATGCGACAGACCTATATAAATCGCAAGAACCATTTTTTTTTTTGGTGTTGATAAATGATAAACTCGCAGACACCATTTGCCGCATTGCAAGAGCATTATCACTCCTATTCTCGGCTTCCGCTTGGTTTTCCTTGAAGCTATATATGTAGAGCCCCACGTATCGCGGGGACTACAGAACCTTGCTGAGGGACAGGCACCCATATGCTGCTGTAAACTATGTATGGCTGATTCGTGGTTGCGCGGTCCAGTCGGCATCCACCGGGCACCGCTGTTAGGGCTGTCTGCC